CAAGGCAGCGCGGTTCCAGGGCTGGATGCAGCGTTACCCAGCCGGAGATGGTCCCAAAAACTCCGCTCTTCCGGACACATTCCCTATCTTCACAATGGGGAATGCGTCTTCGACCGGAGTAGGGGTAAACGGCTTTGGGAACACAACCCGACCGGGTACTGTTGCACAAGGCCCCAGGCAATGGCGAAGTCTCAACCACCGGTGGCTAACCTTGTCTTCATAATTATTTGCAGTAGAGGGGGGAGCGGCCACGTGACCAGTACAAAGATTCCTCCATGTTCTCTGTTGAAAAGGGATTGCAGTAACAGCGGACGGTTAGCGCCAGTGGTTCCTAGTGGTGGCTACGAAAGCTTTGAAAGAAGCAGAAAATGAAGAAAGGAGTGACGTAACATACTTCAAGTACTCTAACAAAGGCGCATATTGAGCTTGGTTGAGCACACGAATCCGATGTCGAACTGCTCGGAAGGAGAAACCAGAGTCTGGCGAGTCAGTAAGTGGTCGTGAATCAGGTAGAGGAAAACAGTGCCGAAACACCGAGGCTGCGGCCGCGGTCCTCGATGAGTGTCCTTGGCTATACGCCTGGGGCACCGCAATGAGATGAGTATTTTACTGATTCGCATCTAAAAAAGAATATTGCAAAAAATAAATGGGGATTTAGCAGAAGCTAGAACATCCAATCACAGAAGCTCACACCTATATTTATCTATGTGAAGTTGCAAAACAGCCACAAATGACTGCTTTGGCGGTTCGAACTGTAAACCAATCATCACCGGGACTGCACCTGTTCGAAGACCCAAAACACGCGGCCTGAAATACGAAGAAAGAAAGCATAAAGAAAATTGAAATGCGAAACCTTTCTGAGTATACAAGAGAAAGAAATGGAAGGGTCAATGTAGGGTCCTTGAATTATTTTTAGAAAGAAAATAATTTCTTCCTCTTGCGGCGGACGGCTGCAATTACAGGTGCAAAGCAAAATTACGGAAGGGTACGGTTATCTGAAGCGATCTCTATTAGTGAACAGTAGAAATATACGGCAATAAAGACCTCTAAATTTTGTGGTTTCAAATGTCATCGCCAGGGTCGAAGGGTTAATAAGGTTTCGGCTTTATTCAACTAGTGACACTGAAATTATTATATTGAAGGTAATTGATAAGGTTTAAAAAATAGCCCACCTTAACAGTTCGAGCCATTTAATGAGAACATGTGTCGGACGAAAGCAAATGTACACTCCCGTTAGATCAATATCTGTTTGTGAGAGAAATACGCAACCTTCACGAGCGAATACGGAGTCGTCGAGTAGATACATCACACAATATGCCAGATCGAGTACAAGGCGTGCTTTGGCGCTCTTGAAAAGTTTCACAATCAATTAACGAGAAAAACAGCGCTTTTTCCAGCACAAAGAAGCTATTGTTCTCGAATACAATTAACACGAAATCCCACTGTAAAATAACACGGATATGGTCCTCATTACCATTATACTCCTATTCAGAAAAGTGGTGGCATTTGAGTGTGATTTGTCCAACAAAAACTTGTAGGGTCGACCGATACCCTAGTCACTTTTGAAACTCTCAGGCGAGTGTATTAAGAAATAGCCGACACCGGGAATGGAAAGCCTGCTTGGCCTTTGTGGGAGGCTAACCGGGATCGGACCATCAGGCCATGCAGGCAAGGAATGCTATGATGCTACAGCGCTACTTGCAAATACATCTACCTGTAGCAGACATAGTTGCCATATGTTTCCCTTGCGGGAACTAATATTTCTGCACGCAAAGCAAGAATAAACTGGAATTGCCACGCATGGTTGCTGTCCTTCACATCATCCCGTGATTTTGCAGCCTTTCGGGCTTGCATAATGAAACGTACCGCTTCCGTGTCAGCAATTACAAGTTCACATCCACCGTTAGGATCGTCGCATAAGAGTCAACCAGCATGACTTCCATGCCTTCTCTTCGCGAGCTGAAGTGAAACAAATTGGTGAACTCGTAATGCTCGCAAAAAATGATTTATGGTTCAAACCAATTAGTATGTTTCGAGAAGCACAAATTCTCACATTTCCTCAACGCCTGAACCGCAGCCACTGTATGTGAGGCACAGTTGTGATTAACGTAGTCATCAGTTGCCTCTATTGACGTGACATTTGGGGAAAAATCCGAAGTCGTCATTGCGACAGGCAGAGGCGTATCATTCTCAGCACTCGCTCGACGAGATGATGGTTGCGATGGTAAAACAGCATGGGTTAAATGTACATCATGGATTTAAAACTTTTTTTTAAAATTACTTTAAATGTACATCACTTGCGATGGGATGGACACAGTATCTGAAAGAATTAAGATAGATCTTTTCTCTGTAATCCGCGCACTTGCCTACCGACATTACAACATGAAACGATAAATGTTTCAAGAAATATCTAAGCACGAGACAAATTACATGTACAAGCGCACCAAACTACAAAACAACTCTAAAGAATGTTAACTACCCAAGTGGTGAAGCATTTACATAGTTCCATTCCTAAACGGTAATGATTGAGAATCCAACCCAAAACTAATAC